CGTACATCCTCTGGAATCTGAGCGGAGGCTGCCATGACTCCACTGCTCTCACGTCCTGCCGGCCTGCAGACTTAACACAACGTGGATGCCACAGAGGTTTTGGGCCTCTACCTTCCAGGGCTGCTGCACAAACCACACTTGGGGCTGCTCCAGCTGGAGCAGCTGGGATGCAGGGAGCAGGTTCCCAAGGGCAGTTGCACCCCAAGTCTGTCCTCTGGGACAACTCAGTCCTTCTAGGCCTCAGGGCCTGTCATAGGTGAGGCACCCTTCCAGACTTCTCAAATGCCTTTAGGGCATTTTTTCCATTGTCCTGGTTCTTAACATCTGGCTGCCTCACTGCCAAAATAATGTCTTTAGCAACCAGTTTATCTGCTTCACCCTTGTGTTTTTCTCCTGCTCTCAGCTTCTCCACCTCATGGCCAGGTTGCAAATTTTCCAAATCTTTACACTCTGATTTCCTTTTAAATTCTGGCTTTACATCATGATTTTGCCACCATAACTGAGTAGGCTCTTAAAATCAACCATGCAGCTTCCTTAATGCTTTGCTGCTTGGAAATTTCTTTGGCCAAATGCTCTGGTTCACAACTCTTAATTTCCAATTTCCACAAAGTCCAAGGGCATGGACACAAGGCAGCTAGGTTCCTCGCTATGGTGTAGCAGGGGTTATCTTTTGTCCAATTCCCAATAAGTTCCTCATTCCTGAGACCTCATCATCCGCATGGCCTTTACTGTCCACATTTCTATCAGCATTCTGCTCGCCACCACATAAGTCTCTAAGACATTCCAAACTTTCCCTCGTCTTTTTGTCTTCCTCTAAGTCCTCCAAACTCCTCCAACCTTTTTCCATTACCCAGTTCCAAAGCTGCATCCACATTTTCAGGTATCTGTATAGCAACACCCCACTCCTCAGTACCAATTTTCTGTTTTAGTCTGTTTTGTGGTGCTATAACAGAATTACCTGAGACTGGGTAATGTATAAAGGAAAGAGGTTTATTTGGCTTATGATTCTGGGACAGTTGCATCTGGCACGGGCCTCAGGCTGCTTCTACTCATGGCAGAAAGTGACAGGCAGCCAGTGGGTACGAGCAGATCACAGGGCGAGAGGAAGCAAGAGAGAGAGAGGAGGTGCCAGGGTCCTACACACAACAAGCTCTCACTGGAACTAATAAAGTGAGAACTCACTCATTAATCCCCCTTCCCCCAGGGAGAGCATTAATCCATCCATGAGGGATCTGCCGCCATGACTCAATCAGTTTCCAGCACTGCCACATTGGAGATCAAATTTCCACATGAGTTTTGGAGGGGACAATACATCCAAACTCCATCAAAGACCTTAAGACTTCCAGTTCCCAGAACTCCCAACGTTGCCTGCAAAATAGCGTCTTCTCACTGGGGAGAGGATCCGTGGAATTTCACTGAGCACTCAAGAAGATCCATGATGCGCTCGAGTGGGACAGACAGGGGAACATTGTTGGAGCGTTAGCCACATCAAGCGTGAGCAGAAGGGGGCAGAGCACTTGCAAAGGAGGTCGCCTGAGAACCGGATGAGGCGGCGACCGTGAGGCCGAGCCGGGAGCAGGCGTTGCGCCGAGGTCCGGGCGGGCGGTGGGCAACGGCCACAGACGCCTCGAGGTCGGGTCGTTGAGGGCCGGGGGCGGGCAGAGAGCGCGGGGCGCTCGGGCCGGGGGCCGCCGGCGCCATGGGCAACCGCGGGATGGAAGAGCTGATCCCGCTGGTCAACAAGCTGCAGGACGCCTTCAGCTCCATCGGCCAGAGCTGCCACCTGGACCTGCCGCAGATCGCCGTGGTGGGCGGCCAGAGCGCCGGCAAGAGCTCGGTTCTCGAGAACTTCGTGGGCCGGTGAGCGAGCGCAGCGGGGACCGGGGGCGGGCGGCGGCCTAGGGCGCGGAGGGCGGACCGGGAATGGCGCGCCTTGCGCCGCCGGCGTAACTGCGGCCTTGCGTGCCCGGGACGGGGACAGGGAGAGGGAGGCGGGCCCTGCGGGACGCCCCGGGCGGAGGGCTCCCTCTGGGGGCTGCGGGGCTGGTCCAGGGCCCTGGGGCGGTCGCACGGACCGGGGGGCGGTGGACCCCGCCGTCTGTCTGATCCCAGCTTTCGTGGGTCAACTCTGCCATTTGGTTGCCTGTGGGTCAGGTGTTGGTGCCCGTTCTCCTCCGTCTGTCGGTCTATCAGGGGCGAAACCTGCCACTACTGGGGCGATCTCTGCGGCTGTTCTTTTATCTGGAGCAGCCCCTGCCGTCTGGTTGGCTATCTCTCTGCCCTGGGCAGATCTCCCTACCACCACCATTTGGCTGTCCATCTGTCCAGTCTCACTTGGAAGTCCCCGGCTGTCTGGCTAGCTGTCCAGGGTGACCTCTGCTGTCTGGTCACCCATCCGTGCCCCTCACAGACTTTAACACTTACCACTCCCTCTGTCCGGTTACTTTAGCTGGCCTCCGCAGTCTGACTGGCTGCACCCTAGGGGACTCTGTTGTCTGGTTCTCCCAGGCTGACTCTTCAGCTTGGTACCTGGGGAACGCTGGCTTCTCTCTTCCAAGTGAATCCTTCTGTCTGTCTGTCTTGGTGCCTGTCCATCTCCTAGTCTGCCCGTCACTACCCAGCAGCCCCTAACTGTCCCAACCCTTCTGTCGGTGTGGCAGGAGGGTGGAGGGGAGAAGGGAACTGAAGGATGAAGCTTGAATCCCTTCTCTTCTCATTTGTAAGTAGGACCCCGAGGGGAACTTTCTGCAAGATTCTTTCCTGGCCCATGTCAGTATGCTCCAGAGCCCTGGAACACAGGGGCCAGCCCCCAAGCTAAAACCTGCAAATTGGGGGCCTTCCTTGGAGCCTGGGAAGGGGCTTCTTGTCTGATCAGGCTCAATGGCAAGAGCTGGGACGCACCCTTCCCTGGGCAGCCTTGAGAAGGCTCAGCTTGGCCAGCTGTGTAGTGGGCAAATTCCACTCTCTGGGCTGTTTCCTGGATTCTGGAAGCTAATGAATGAGAACAGTCCCTGCGGCCACGGACAGACCTTGATTCTCCCCTGCCCTTCCCCCCGCCTCTTGCCTTTCTGCCTCTCAGATGGGCGGCCACTTCTCCATTCCAGGAAGTACTTTATTTCTAATGGCGTGGCTGTCAAGTGATAACATCCTCATTGTCATCATCATCGTTATAGTTATTACTGTTATCAGTGTTCATCCAGCAGGCCCCAGACTGAGCTCTTTCTTGGTTCAGCATCTTGAGTCCCACAATGAGCCTGTGGGGTGGAGGTTCTGTTATCATCCCCACTTGTGAGATGAGTTGGGAGGCTGGGGGAGGCTCAGAAAGGACTCACCATTCACCCAAGGCCAGCAGGCTGGCACACAGCAGAGCCTGGTTGGGCACCCAGCGTTGCCCTGCCTTCCCAGAGCCCTGGGGTTTTGCTGCCAGCGGCATGAATTTCCTTCTCTGCTGTTTTGTCTCTGGCACATTGCCCTCTGTCTACTGTAGTGGAAAGGTGTAGACTTGGGGGTCAGCTGGGCCTGGACTGAATCTCATGCTGGGCTCTAGGCGCCTCTGCATGGCCATCGTCTTGCCTGCCCAGGCTTCCAGTGGGCATCCGCAAAGCTGTGTCTACTTCACTTGCCTTGTGTCTTGGCACAGGTTGTTTGGCCTCTCTAAGCGTGGGCTTCCCCTCCTGAAAATGGGGTGACCACCTCTCAACAGGACTGTTGCAGGGATGCAGTGACATGGTGCATTGAAAATGCTTACTTATGGCTGGCCGGTTAGCTCAGTTGGTTAGAGCATGGTGTTGTAACACTAAGATCAAGGGTTCAGATCCCTGTACTGGCAGCCACCCCCCCAGAAAAGTGCTTACTTAGCATAATGTCCGGCACCCAGTAGGTCTACATGGATGGACAGGGCTGTCCACTTGGCTGGTTCCTTTCATATCAAGGACAAAGCTAAACAGAATTAAAGTCCTTTCAAGTTATGTAATGGATTTCAGTTAAACCTTATGGGGGTGGCACTGCTGTGATATCCCATCTTGTAGAACAGGAAACCGAGGCTCAGATAGCTGAGCAGAGCACTCTTCCTCTGCTGTTCAGAGAGGAATTGGGGGCTCTGGTTTGGGGTCTCTCTCCCTTCCCCACTTTTCCTCAATCCCTCTGCTTCTTGCCATTCCCCCCTGCTCATCCTGGCATCTGGTGACTGCCAGCCACTAATAAGCTGGCTCCTATGACAGCCTTCTCTCAGAATGCCGCAATGTAGAAATTGCTCTCTCTCTTTTTTTTTTTATTGGTGGCTGGCTGGTACAGGGATCCAAACCCTTTACCTTGGTGTTATCAACACTGTGCTGTAACCAAGTGTGCCAACCAGCTAGCCAGAAATCGCTTATTAAGAGCATTAATTTAGCACTTGAAAACCAAAGTTGTAAAAATGCCTCTCTTCGGGTATGGGGTGCTCAAACAGAGCTTAAATTCTTTGTATTTCTGGAATGTGGGTAAGACCTCTCAGCTACAAAGCCCTGCTAGGAGGGGACTGCAGGCTGGCCACAGTTTGAATCCCACTCCCTACTTCTTTTTGCGAATTTAGCCAAACTGATCCCTACTCAAGATCCTTTTTCCTCCCTTGCACCTGGAGATGTGTACATTGGGCATCCTAGCTGGTTTCAAGGAGTGCACAAGAGAGTGTGTTAAGGGCCTGTGGCCAGGCCAGGCACCTGGGGGGTTAGCATGGGCTGCTTCATTTCACTGCCTTCTCCTTGTGGATTGTCTAAGAATGTGGTCCGAGTGGGAATGGCCCAGTTCTCTCAGCCCTGTAGCCGGGGTTGCAGATCTCTGGCCCTGGAGGCTGAGGCTTGCCTGCTGGGTCTTTTGTTTCACCTTCATGGTGTTTATAAAGTTTCCTTTTTGTGAGCTGCCAATATTTAAAAATTAGATTTCACATCAAAGTCCAGACTTCTGCACTGCTAGAAAACACCCAGATTTTTTTTTTTTTTTGCTTTGTGGCTGGCCAGTATGGGGATCAGAACCCTTGACCTTGGTGTTATCAATACCATGAACACTCAGATCTTTAGAGTTTAGTGGTGTAGGGCACAGGCTGTGGGCTCAAGGCCTGGCTCTATCGTGTTTGACTGTGTACCTTTGGCCAAATGGATTTGGCTTTCTGGGTCTCAGGTTTCTTTTTTGTAAGATGGGGGTGATAACTGGACTCTCCCCTAGGGACTGGATGAATTAACACGTGGGTCCTATACCCATGGCTGCTGTCATTATAATCATTATCTGGCCTTGCCTGGCCTGCATCCCGTGTGGCACCAATTGCTTGGATTTCAGAAGGGGCAGTCACTGCTCCACCAGACTAGGAGTGGCCACGTGAACTGCCACAGTCCCCACTCTCCCTAGCTCTCACCTAGGCCCATTTTGCAGTTGCCTGGAGCTTCCTGGCCCTGAAAATCTTGGAGTTGAGACCTCTGGCTTGTCTGTCCTTCATCAGCAGATACACCTATGGCCCCAAGAAGGGAGGACATGGCTCCTTCTTGACCTGTCATTGAGCCTTGGGAGCTGGCAAGAGGGAGGGGCTAGGGACTGATGCCCGTCATTGCATACTTTTGAGACCTGGTGCAAGGGATTTAATCCCCCCTCTTTAAAACATGAGTTATAAAAGTACCTTTTTCTTAGGGTTGGGTGGGGATTAAATGAGACCATATGGAGAGCTTGGAACAATGTCCAGCACAGAAAAAGTGCTTAAAACATTAGGCATTGTTTCTTTGTTCATTGAAAAATGTTTTCTGGGCCGGCCCGTGGCTCACTCGGCAGAGTGCGGTGCTGATAACACCAAGGCCACGGGTTCGGATCCTATATAGGGATGGCCGGTTGCTCACTGGCTGAGCGTGGTGCTGACAACACCAAGCCAAGGGTTGAGATCCCCTTACCGGTCATCTTTATAAAAAAAAAAAAAAGAAAGAAAAAGAAAAATGTTTTCTGGGCAAATTTTTGGGCACTTTTACTGGGTGCCTAGAGACATAGCTCTGAGCAAGTTACCACATTCTCTGCCCTGGGGGACCTGGCCTTCCAGATGGGGGCAGATAAAGGAGAAATATGGTAGAAGGTGATAATTGTTACAGAAGAAAGGATAAAGGAGAGCTCCTATGGCGGAGAGGGAGATTACATTTTAAATAGGGGAGTCAGGTGGTATTTGAGCAGAGACTTGAAGGAGGAGGAAAGAACCCTGTAGAGACCGCAGGGAAAGCATTCCAGGCTGTGGGAACAGCCTGTGCGAATGCCCTGAGGAGGCCAGTGTAGCAGGAGAGTGGAGGGAAATAAGGTCAGGGAGGTATTGGGGTATGAAAGGATACAGGCCACTGGAGCTGTGGGGGTGGAGGGGGCTCTGAGCAGAGGGAAAGCGGCTGTGGCACTGTTATAATCTCTCTGGGGCTGGTCCTGGGCAAGCTGAGGGCTCTCTCCTCTGATTTTCAGCTTTACCTCCATGTGTGGGGGCCCTATGCCATTTTTCTTTTAACAAGAAGCAGCTGCCCCTGGGACTCTCCCATCACCAGCTGCGTTTCTATTTGGCCCGTGGTGATGTGTCCGTCCCAGGAGACATGGATGAGCCATAGGGCCACTGCCTGTGCCTTGGTGGGTGCCAGATGAATGCCCATCCATTGACACATGGCCCTGCCAGACCGAGGGGCATATGATCTGCCCCTTCGGCTGGTTTGTCCCTTCACAGATCTTAGGTGTTTAGAGCCACGTGGAAATGATGGCTCTGTTTCCATTAATCTTCCTTTGGGGCAAAATCAAATTGCATCTTGAAGATGCCATACCCAGCTCTGCCCAGGTGGGCCAGCCAGAATGGGTGGAGCCCAGAGGCATCTGTGGGAATG